GCGAAGGCCGGGCGCTCCCGGCGCTGGCCAGGCCCGGCCGGGCGGCCGCGGCCCCGGCCGCGCCCGCGGGCTCGCCCGCGCGAGCCCACCGTTGCCCTCATTTCGCCGCAGACGTCCCGGGCGATTTCGAGCGCCTCCTGACCTGCTTTTTATAATAATAATAATAATCGTACTACTACTACTACTACTACTACTACTACTACTACTACTACTACTACTACTACTACTACTACTACTACTACTACTACTACTACTACTACTACTACTACTACTACTACTACTACTACGACTACTACTACGACTACTACGACGACTACTACTACTACTACTACTAATAATAATAATAATATCAATAATAATAGTAATAATAATAATAATAATACTAAGGTTATAAAAATCGCCTCGCCGACCCGGGCGGCAATCTGCAAGCCGCGGCCGCGGCCGCGGGCCGCGCGGGGGGGCTGGCCGAGGAAGAAGTAACTCCCCCGACCAGGCCCCCCCTCGTCAGTGCTGCGCCCGCGCCCCCTGCCGCCGCCTCTACCAGGGGGGCGCCCGCGGCCGCGCCGAGGCGCTGGCTGCGCGGGCGCTGCCGGCGGCGGCGGAGCGGCCTTGCACCCTCGCCCTGGCTGCCTGCGAGCAGGCCCCATGGGCCGAAACAGCTACGGATGAGAGAGCTAGCGAGCGCAGCGCACGAGAATTTCTCAGCGAACCAGCAAAACGCAGCGCACGAGGATTTCTGACCAGCAAAACGCAGCGCACGAGGATTTCTAAACGAATCCAATAAAACGAAGCGCACGAGGATTTCTTTGGGAACCAAGCAGAACGCAGCGCACGAGGATTTCTGAGCGAATCCGACAAAACGCAGCGAATGTGGTTTTCTGAAGAATATGAAATTTGATGCCGATAATTGCCGCTCAATGGCCTCCAGCAACCTCTGACCTAAGCGGCCTCGAAAATCTCGGGCCTAAGCGGCCTCGAAAATCTCGGGCCCCAGCGACCTCGAAAATCTCTGGCCGAAGCGACCTCGAGAATCTCGGTTCTGAGCTACCTCGAAAATCTCGGGCCTGAGCGACCTCGAATAACTCGGGCCCAAGCGACCTCGAAAATCTCGGGCACAAGCGACCTCGAAAATCTCGGCCCTGAACAACCTCGAAAATCTCGGGCCTCAGCGACCTCGAGAATCTCTGGCCTCGGCGACCTCGAAAATCTCTGGCCTAAGCGACCTCGAAAATATCCGGCCTGAGCGACCTCGAAAATCTCCGGCCTAAGCGACCTCGAAGTTCTCGGGCCCGAGCGACCTCGAAAATCTCTGGCCCAAACGAACTCGAAAATCTCGCGTCTGAGCGACCTCCAAAATCTCGGATCTAACCGACAGCGAGATCTGACATCTGATGTTGTGATAATAATATTTTCAACCTGAAATCTGACAGAAACGCGAACAGCGCATAAACATCAGAATTCGAGTCGAAGTCATATTCCTCAAGCGGCACAAATTCAGCCAACGCTGAACGCAGGGTCTCGCGAATAACTGTCTTACCCGCGATTGCAAATTGCTTCCGCCACAATCGGATGCGGCGTCGCGCCGCTGACCCTAAGGCATTTCGAGCCTTCGCTCCGTGCATGAGACGGGTTATTTACGCGCGCGCTCCAGGCGAATCCGCTGTCGGCGGGGGGGGCCCAGCAGGACCGACAACCCCCCCCTCATCCTCCGCGTCGCTCGGCATGGTGGCGATGAGGGCGGTGGCCGTGCGATCGCTCCTCGGCCCCAAAGGCGGCCCCGGCTCGCCACTGTCGCCGGGCGACGAGGCATTCGTTAAATCCTCAGCCTCAGAGTCAGACTCCTCATCTTGTGCGACTTCGCGCCAATTGGCTCAGTGCTCCTGATGGTTGGGGCCCCAGGTATATTTTGGAATTATATACTCCTCAGGACCGCCAATAGTAACCTGGCCCACGCCCTCCTGGTCAAGAAGAACATTTAGTCCAGATTTCTCTGCAATCCTGCTCTGGCTCTGCTGATAATCGTTTAACCATCGGCCCCAAGCTAACGAAGCGACTCGCACGATATGTAAACGTTTTTTTGTTGGTGCAGACGTGCGGCACCACTCCTGCCGCGCCGCTTGTGAAACCAACTCTTCGCCCTGAATCTGCGACGCGATTTCCTTAAGAGTGGCGCCGATTCCACGATCAATAGTCTGCCAGATGTGCGCAGAAGATCCGGGTTCGCCCAAATGAGCCGCAACCTGGCCTTTACATGATCGCGCCATCTGGTAGTAAAGCTTGCGTCCAAATTATATGCAATTAATAATTTCGCAGCCTTTTGACCATCTAAACTCATGGATTCGAGGCGGGGCTTCCAAACATGCTCTAGCCATTCCTCAGCCGTCGCTCGATCGAACCGCGCCTTCTTTTGTTACCTAACAATAACAGATGGTGAATGCTGGGCCCTTTCTGATTGACTCACCTGGCCTTTGCCACGCAATAAAACCATCATCTTCGGTTG